TTTTATCACACTGGCCGATTCCCACCAAGGCAGGGTGGCCCGAAAAAGAAAAACTTTCACAATCATTCACTCCATCACTGTCTTGCCAGAAGGGTGCTTTACACTACAGTTTTTAAACTGCAACATTAACACCCTTCCTTCAGAGTGCAGGCACTGTACTTCCCATCTCCAGGACTCAAGTCCGGCATGCCGGTTTCCCTGAACCCCTTCAATAATGTTACTTTGCTCACACTCCAACAGCACGTCAAGTATTAAAAACCATTTGTCTCCATTCACTCCTATCAAACACGCTCACGCATGTCTGCTGGAAGTCCAAGCCCCTCGCACACGAAACCTCCTTTACCCCCTCCCTGCAACCTTTCCTAGGCGGACCCCTACCCCGCCTTCCTTCCACTACAGACTGATACACTCTTGAAGTCACTCTGTTTTGCTCCATTCTCTCTACATGTCCGAACCACCTCAACAAACCTTCCTCAGCCCTCTGGACAACAGTTTTGGTAATCCCGCACCTCCTCCTAACTTCCAAACTACGAATTCTCTGCATTATATTCACACCACATATTGCCCTCAGACATGACATCTCCACTGCCTCCAGCCTTCTCCTCGCTGCAACATTCATCACCCATGCTTCCACACCCATATAAGAGCGTTGTAAAACTATACTCTCATACATTCCCCCTTTGCCCCAAGGACAAGTTCTTTGTCTCCACAGACTCCTAAGGCACCGGTAAAACCCCCTTTTTCCCCTCTCAATTCTATGATTCATTCATCTTTCATAGACCCATCCGCTACACGTCCATCCCAAAATATCTGAATCATTCACCTCCTCCATACTCTCCCCTCCAACTGATACCCAATTTTTCATCACCTAATCTTTTTTTTTACCTCATAACCTTACTCTTTCCTGTATTCACTTTAATTTTCTTTTTTTGCACACCCAACCCAAAATTCATCCCCCAAAATCTCTGAAAACTTCTCTTCAGAATCTCCCAAGAGCAAAAGTGCCATCCAAAGAGCAACGTGACAACTCCCACTTTATGGTGATTCTTTATCTTTTAACTCCACACCTCTTCCCAAAGGACCCCGCATTTACTTCTCTTACAACCCATCAAAATATATTAAAAACCCGGGTGACATCACACACCTTTCTAAGGGCCTTTTTTTACGGGAAAAAATTTTTCCCCCTTTCCTCATACTCTAACTTGGAGCCTCGCTACCTCGAAAAACCTTCACTGCTTTCAGTAACCACCTCCTACACCATACACCTCAACACTGCCACATTGGGCCCCTCTATCCAAAAAGACCTTTTTAGCCTACTAAATATTTTTCACCCTTTTATGTTTCACTGTGAACACCGGGGCCCCACACACCCCTACCTTTCCTAAAGCCTCCTTGTTCATCTGCTATCCTATTCTCCATCTTACTCTTAATTCTTTCAATAATAACTCTACCATAGACACTTTACCAGGTATACTCAACAGACTTATCCCCCTATAATTTTGCACTCTCTTTTGTCCCCTTTGCCTTTATACAAAGGAACTATGCATGCTCTCTGCCAATCCCTAGGTACCTTACCCTCTTCCTTACATTTATTAAATAATTGCACCAACCACTCAAAAACTATATCCCACCTGCTTTTAACATTTCTATCTTTATCCCATCAATCCCGGCTGCCTTATCCCCTTTCATTTTACCTACTGCCTCACGAACTTCCCCCACACTCACAACTGGCTCTTCCTCACTCCTACAAGATGTTATTCCTCCTTGCCCTATACAACGAAATCACAGCTTCCCTATCTTCATCAACATTTAACAATTCCTCAAAATATTCCCTCCATCTTCCCAATACCTCTAACTCTCCATTTAATAACTCTCCTCTCCTATTTTTAACTGACAAATCCATTTGTTCTCTAGCTTCCTTAACTTGTTAATCTCACTCCAAAACTTTTTCTTATTTTCAACAAAATTTGTTGATAACATCTCACCCACTCTCTCATTTGCTCTCTTTTTACATTGCTTCACCACTCTCTTAACCTCTCTTTCTCCATATACTCTTCCTCCTGCATCACTTCTACTTTGTAAAAACTTCTCATATGCTAACTTTTTTCTCCCTTACTACTCTCTTTACATCATCATTCCACCAATCGCTCCTCTTCCCTCCCGCACCCACTTTCCTGTAACACACAAACTTCTGCTGAACACTCTAACACTACACATTTTTAAACCTACCCCATACCTCTTCGACCCCATTGCCTATGCTCTCATTAGCCCATCTATCCTCCAATAGCTGTTTATATCTTACCCTAACTGCCTCCTCTTTTAGTTTATAAACCTTCACCTCTCTCTTCCCTGATGCTTCTATTCTCCTTGTATCCCATCTACCTTTTACTCTCAGTGTAGCTACAACTAGAAAGTGATCTGATATATCTGTGGCCCCTCTATAAACATGTACATCCTGAAGTCTACTCAACAGTCTTTTATCTACCAATACATAATCCAACAAACTACTGTCATTTCGCCCTACATCATATCTTGTATACTTATTTATCCTCTTTTTCTTAAAATATGTATTACCTATAACTAAACCCCTTTCTATACAAAGTTCAATCGAAGGGCTCCCATTATCATTTACACCTGGCACTCCAAACTTACCTACCACACCCTCTCTAAAAGTTTCTCCTACTTTAGCATTCAGGTCCCCTACCACAATTGTTTATCTCACTCCAAAAAATTTTCTTATTTTCACCACAATTTCTTGACAGTGCCTCTCCCATTCCATCGTCTGCTCTCCTTTTACACTCTCTCACCACTCTCTTCACCTTTCTTTTACTCTCCATATACTCTGCTCTTAAAACACTTCTGCTTTGTAAAAACCTCTCATAAGCTGCCTTTTTTCTCTTTTATCACACCCTTTACTTCATCATTCCACCAATCACTCCTCCTTTCTCCTCACCCACCATCCTATAGCCACAAAATTTTTCTCCACATTCTAAATTGCATTTTTAAAATTATTCCAACCCCCTTCA